AAATCCCCAGAAGACAGGGCCCTGGGCAAACTACTAGGGTCCCCTTCTGTCTCTCAGACAGAAGCTTTCTTTCCCTCAATAAATATATTCTGCTCTTAACTCTCCATTGCTCCTAAAATTCATTCTTTGATTTTAGAGAACATGAACTTGCTCCAGATATTTTTTTTTTTTTTTTTTTGGTACCGGGAATGGAACTCAGCACCTTGCGCTTGCCAGGCAGGTGCTTGTGCCGCTGAGCTACATCCCCAGCCTTCCAGATATCTTTCAAGTTGGGAGTTTCTTTCGCCTGTATCAGTACCAGCACTATTCTATCACCACCAAGTCCAGCACCAGCGCCATAAAAACCTGCAGTGGATACAAGCAGGAAGGTAGTGAATGAGGTCAGAGCTGCTTCTCAGAAGAGAAACCAGAGGGCATGAGGGGCAGTGGTGCTGTGGTCATGGTCCCTATTATAGGTGCTACAGTGACCCGTGGCTGAGGAGGCCTCCAGGTGGCTGAGGTGGGAAGAGCTTCTGCCTTGGGAGGTGTCCAGTCATTGGCTGGTTCCCAGCAGTCCCTGCTTACCTCTGAGGCAGGAAGAGCAGAATGAGCAACTAGATGAAGTGGTAACACGTCAAGGACCACGCCAGGCATGGTGGCGCACGCCTGTAATCCCAGCCCTCGGGAGGCTGAGGCGGGAAGATTACTGAGAGCTTGAAGCCAGTTTGGGCTACATAGTGAGTTCAAGGCCAACCTGACCTACGTAACAAGACCTTGACTCAAAAACAAACAAAAAGGACTGGTTGCCACACATTTCTCAGAAGGGAAGGAGCCTGGCCTGCGCTCTTGTCTGGCAGGCGGGCACTGACTGCCTCTCCAGGGCTCATCTAGGAACTGTACAGCTACTGTGCTGGCCTGGGTGTTTGAAAAGACAGATGCTCAACTAAAAGATTCAGAAGCTAAAAGAGAAGAGATTCCTATCATCCAAATACCTATGTGTCCATCACATGCTAAGGATTTCTGATGCTCTTTGTCCTACAAGCTGTATTTGAGAAAGAGAACTTCTACACTCACTCTTAGCTGAGTGGACAACCAGATTTGAGCTTACATCTTGGTGTTGCCCCACCATGGTATCGCTAATTTAATCAGCAGAGGACATTTGAGGCAGCCTATGGCTGGAAGAGAGCAGAGTCACATTCTCAGGCTTTCCTGCCTGCAGGCTCCTTGGTTACAGCTTCCCACTGTGACACAATTGTGCAGACAGCTCCCCAGGCTATGGGGTCATGACCCCTGAGTGTGACCAAAGCCAAAGGCTAGGCTCTCTGGAGAGTTGAATGCTGGGAAGAAGGTGAAAAAACTTCCAAGCTCGCTGGGCATGGGGGCGCAGGCCTGTGATCTCAGCACTCAGGAGGCTGAGGCAGGAGGTTGAGGCAGGAGGTTCACTGTGAGTTGCAGGCCAGTCTGGGCTACATAGTGAGACTGTCTCAAAACAAACAAACAAACAATTCCATGATCAACTAGAAGGGGCAGAAAGTGTTAATGTGTAGTCAGAGTCGAATATTTTGTGAAAACCTTATAAAAGTTTAAGGCTCTTGCTAAGGAGTTTTCAACATTCCTGCCTTTTGACAATATTTTATTCAAAATTACTACCCCAGGGGCTGGGGATTTAGCTCAGCGGCAAAGCGCCTGCCTGGCAAGCACAAGGTCGTGAGTTCGGTTCCCGGTACCAGAGAAAAAAAAAAAAAAAAAAAAATTACTACCCCAAACCAATCTCTCATCTCTCCATATCTGTTTGTCTCTCTGTCTCTGTGTGTACGTGTCCCCCCTGAAAAAAATCTTTGCTTCAAACCCAAAGTTTGGGGAAAATACCTTTTCCCTCTTAAATTTATTTGCAGCCTGGTTCAGTGAGACATTTAGCATCCTTCTTTACAAGTTTTGTTTTGTTGTTGTTTTTCTGAGAAAGTCTCACTATGTAACCCAAGCTGGCGTCAAACTCACAGCCATCCTCCTGCCTCAGCCTCCCGAGTGCTGGGATTTGCATGTCCTTTGACTCTTTTCAATGCGCAACCCTTGAACTTTTAAGTGCAGCCTCGGTTACTAAAAATGGCCCAAATCCATCAAAATAAACTCTTGTGCTCATGCCAAAACATATTGAGTCCTGCCTTTAGAATCAAAGGATGACTATCCACTGTGGGCTCCAAGATTCTTGCTTAACCCCCCCAATCCACAACTCCTTGCCCCAGTAAAGCAGGGAACTGGCCATTCCCGACCTGGTGACTTTTTCCTTCCATTGTCCACCGAATTCCCTGGCGTGTTAGAATCACTGAGGGGAACACGGAAAGAGCCAACATCCAGGTTCCACCACATGGCAAGGAATCTTTCAAGTGTCTAGGTTATTCTCCTGCGCAGCCAAGAACAAACTTGCTAACACTCTTCTACTCATCATCTTGCAGCCCCACAAGACCACCTGGGGAAATAAGGGTTGGACTGGGTTCATTATTCTAGTTCATTGTTTGAATCCTTCTGTTCACTCATTGAGCTTGGCTAGTAGATACTGTCTTTCTTACACTATTTTGAAAAATTATAAACTCAGTTGGGCATGGTGGCCTATGCCTATAATCCCAGCACTTGGGAGGCTGAAACAGGAGGATCACTGTGAGTTCAAGGCCACCTTGAGCTACATAATCGAGTTCAAGGCCAGCCTGCACTACACAGTGAGACCCTGTCTCAAAAAAAAAAAAACAAAAAAAAAGGCCAAGAATTAGTGTTCACAGATTCTCATTCCTTTTTGATTTTCATTCTGCTTTTTTAACCCAGTCTTAACAATGGCCTGCTGCCTTCCTCATTTGTTAAGGCTACCTCACAAAATCTGCTGGAAGTCAACACATTACATAGGGCAATCTCATGTTTCCTGTGTCAAATTTTGTTTTTAATCTCTGCCCACGGCAATCTCAGGCCAACTTTCTCCCAGCACAGGGAAGCAAACTGGAAATGAAATAACTACCTCATCTTGAATAAAAAGAAGCATCAAAGTCATTCAGCAAACTGCTTAATCAACAAGTCTGTCTCCTACACCCACTGTAGCAACACTTTCTTCTCAATCCTGCAAGGTACAAGTACCATTTGTTAATCCTCATTTATCCTCACACTTTCGTAAACTGCTACTAAAGAAACCGAAAGTAAACTCAGGCCTCCTAACTTCCTTTCCAGGATGTTTTTCATTAAAATAATCTTCATCTTTACATCACCATTAAAATGCTTTAACTGGGCTTCAAGTTTTTAAGGCAAATACAGTCTTTGCTAATAAGCAAAGCCACAGAGCTCAGTGAGGTTTTATCAAATACTTTATCTGAAACACACCCTGGCTGTCTTGGAGAGCTATGTGGCACCATGCTTTTGAGACTACTCCAATTGGTCTGTATTGTTCTGCCTTTCTTGACAGGTATTTGATTTTAGGGGTGAAATTTTATTTGAAGGGGAGGCAATTTAATTGACCAGGTTGACAAAATGATTCTGTATGTGATTGTGGCCGGTTACTCAAAAAGCCTAGGACAGGGCCAGAAAGGGATGGACACCCTCCCTTCACTTCTAGTGATTCATGACACCTTCTGCAAGATACCTAAACAGCACCTTCAGGTGCTCTATGCCAGGAACAAAATCCTCTGGCCTGTGACAGTGCTTATACAGAAGGATATAAGCACTTGGAGGGAGCCCAAGAGGTTAAACGGAATTCCATCTCTCATCTAGGTAGTGCTAGAAATGCCATTCAGTGTCACTGTCCATTCCAAAGCAAAGCTACCAGCTCAGGGATCCTGGTGCAGGGACCCAGGACATCTGCTATTAACTCCAGTAACTCAACCAGAACAAGTACATCAGCAAGCCGCGGGCTGGGTGGGAACTTCTGGGACCTCAGACTGAAAAGGGGATGGGCCTGATTTGCCACTGCAGAAGCAGAACTAAGGAAAACAAAAAACAGCACATGAAATTCAGGGGAGCTGGGAGGTTTAGAAAGAGAGAAAAGACGGCTGGGGATTTAGCTCAGTGGCACAGCACCTGTCTGGCAAGCGCAAGGTCATGAGTTCGAGTCCTGGTACCGGAAAAAAAGAAAAAAAGAAAAAAAAAAAGAGAGAGAGAGGAACAGGCTAAACAGAGTAGAGGAACATGGCGGGCAAAAAGCTGAGACAGCAATCAGTCATGTGTCTCTGCAGAGCAGCCTCCAATTCAGCTCGGCTTTATGACCTCTTCAGGCTGCTCCTGTAAAAATCTTTGTCATGGCCTCTGCCCTTAACAATGTACCTAAATTTCCTCCCAAGCCTGAACGCTCCTGCGATGCAGATATCGTTTTTATTTTACAGATAAGGAAACTAAGGCTCAAGATGATGAAATAGATCAGTGTATGGCTCACGGTAGCTCCAGGGCTTCAGTCTAGGTCTGCCTGAGTCCTTGCTCTCAGCTAGTCACACAGGGCTGCGTCCCTGCTGCACCCTATCCTCACCCAATTTGATCTCAGGGACCTGCTGCTTGCGGAACCCTGAAACTCACCCACACACCCACCTCTGTGAGTGTGCACCGTGGGAAGTGACTTCTCCCTTGCTGAGCTAAAGACCCAGAGTCCACTGAACACGGTCAGAAGTGCCCATCACACACACACAGGAAGAAAAACCTGTCTGGGACATCACAGGTCTTGGTCTCTTAGTGCCTTTTTGGGAAAGATCTGCTTTTACTCCTTGCTACTGAGTAGCTCTCAGGCAGCTGCTGAAGCCTATCATCTAGGAAGCTATGATGTGGGGGAGGAGTATCTGTGCAGGAATTTGGGATTTCCATTCCACTTGGAATAAGTATGGGCCCCTTTAAAATAACCTATCAATGAGGCTTTTACAGACTGCAACATGGGCCCCTTTAAAATAACCTATCAATGAGGCTTTTACAGACTGCAACAGTCCGCATTTGTTATCACTGCCTGTTAAGTCTCCAGGTCTGGGTAAGACAGGCGTAGACGCCCACCTCTCAAGAGAAGCCAGCAAGTTTGTATGCACTTTATTAGGAACGAGGCATGTCATGCAGGGAATGGCTCTAGCTAGAGCTCTGCTAAGGTGTTTGCAGTCGTGGTGTCCAGCAGGAAAGGACGAGTCTTCTTTCACTTTCTAGGCCATCAACCAACTTCCATTTATTTTCGTATTTCTGGCTGACCCAGAGGCTCACCCAATGGTGTCAGTGAAAATGCTAGCAAAGAGAGCCAGTCTGGTGAGTGAACCCCCGCACCCCACTGGCACGGCGACAGTGCTGTGACAATCCAAAAGGCGGGCGGGCAGGTGAAGAGCTGTGAGGCTTCCTCTTCCGAGTTGCATCCACTCCAGCAAGCAGGCCTCTGGGCCCCCTCGGTCACAGCGTTAGATGCATGGTTTCTCCCAGGAGTGCCTGCTGGACCAACAGGTTCTCCGGCACACACTGAAAGCTTTCTGTTGGACTTTACCTTAGCTTTTCACCAATCTACTTTTGAATCTTTAGCAAATAAATTCTTTAGGAGTGGCCTGGAGTTCTATGTGGTAGGGGCCTGATGGAGGGAAAGGAGAATGTAACACAAACGGCTGAACTCCCTGCTTTGTCCCAGAACTAGAACCCCACATTCCTGCCATCCTTCTGAGATGGCCCTGCACACTGCCCTCCACACTCAGGTTTGTGGCTCCTGTCGCCCTGGAATGCAACCCGTGTTCACTTTCTGAGAAAGCCTGGGTCTCTGCTGGCTACCATTCCTTGCAGAACGGGCTGTGGATTTATCTGCAGCACTTTAGCACTAAGTTGTGCATCCTCAGTAAATCTTTTGGTTTAAAATGAATCTGAACTGGTACCAGAAAAAAAAAAAAAAGAAAAAAACCAAACAAAAAAAAAAGAATCTGAACTATAACCTAATCCCACATCATACCTCGTGTAAGAATCCCTTCTCCAGCATAGCCTGGAAGATGCTTGGATCCATTTGGAAAGGATTTTTAGGATCTTAGCTCACCACCTAAAAGAAATACTCGAGTAGGATTCTCTTTCCTTTTCATTGTGGGAAGCAAGGTGCATTACAGACCTGAAAAACACACTGAAGGTCCTACTGGTCACCAATAAAGCCAGAACCCTGGTTCTGGGATGCTCAGAACTACCCAATTTTCCCATGATGAGGGCTAGATCCTGGCTAGAAAACTTTTCATCCCAATACTCCAGGGTTCTGCCCACCGCCTGGCTTGTCGTTGTCTAAACCCTTGGGCTTTGTCATTGTTTAAGAAAAATGAGGTTATGACAGCAGGCCAGGCCTCAGGCAGTCCTCACGTCTCCTGTGGTCCCTGGAATGGTGAATGTCACAAAGCGGTGTTTTAGGAATGTAACTGTCTTCCCAAGCGGCGTGTTCAGACAGCCTTCTCAGGAGCACAGCCAGCTGGGCTGCCACCCTTTCCTGGCGTGGTAATGAACAGTGAGGCAGAGGGAAGCCTAGACTCGGTGGTAAGAACACAAGTCTTTATCGCTTATTGGGAGAATATCCTGTTGAAGTCCCACACCTCCTTCTAATACTGTAGATTTAGGGGGAACTAGAGGGTATAAGAAACAACTTTTCACCCAAGATATGGCACTCCTACATTCTCTGTCTTCTCCCTCAGGCACAAAACAAGAGCAAAACAAATCAAATTGATTTCAGTCAAGTTTCTGCAAGAACTCCTCTGCTTTGATTCTGCTGTCTTATTTGGCTTCACTTGGACAGAAGCCGAAAGCAGAGACAGGATTTTGGCAGAAGGAAATGTATCACCAGATTTTTTTTTAAATTTCTAGTGGTTCACCACCCCCTCATGCAGGTGGTGGTGTGTGGGGGTCTCTTTTGTTTTTTGAGACAGAATCTCTCTCTCTATAGTTCGGGCTGGCCTTGAACTCATAGTGATCCTCCTGCCTCTGCTTCCCCAGTACTTGGATTATAGGTATGCACAACCAGGCTCAGCTCACAGTATCACTTTGCAGATGCAAATTTGAGCACTAGAAAGGGAAGGGAACTAGTATGAAGCTGTAAAGACACTCAGGGGTAGAACTAGATTCAAATCATCCCAGGGTCTGAGTGACCCCAAGAATAGAACGTGTGGTAGCCATGGCACCAAAAAGCGTAATAGGCACCACGGCTATCTTGTGTACAGGGGGTGGCTCTCAGGGATCTAGGAGGTGCCCATGCGGCAGGGCAGTTGGGAGGAACAGGTGCTCTCCTGGATGGCTTGAGAACACCACCACACTGCTGCAGCTCTCCTGAGGAACTGCAAGCCCAGCCCGGGGCACGTCCTGAAACCCCTTTGTACTTGAGGAGGGCACTGTGATCTCTGCTGCTGGTGACTGTCAAGAAAATCGGACACTGGGAACTGAAAACTCAGCTCACTGGCCTGGAAAAAGGAAGGCAGATGTGAGTGCTCTAGAAACACAGGTCAGGCGCAGATTTCAGGCTGCTCTGTCATTGTCACGGCAGGTATTTCTTGGGGTCTCTAGCTTTCAAACTGGCTGAGAACTCTGCCCCCAGCTTCTCGCTGGGACCTTTACAAAGATTTCTGGTAGTAAATGCCAGTATAAAAGCCTGAATGTTAGAACCAAGCCAGCAGAAGTTAAGAACTGTTCTCTTAAATAAGCTATTACAATCAGATTTTTTTGTTCACCCAATATCAAACAAATGTACGAGAAGACAACCTAGGACCCCCAAGAAGGCAGTCGTGAGTCCTTGTGTTTCAGGGACAGATAGGCAGCTACACGGGTGTGGACAGAGCTTTTACAGGAGGCAGCAAGGTAAGCAGTGGCTAAAGGACATTTTTCGGACAGCCATCTCGACTAACAAACCAGTGAAAGGCCTTCCACATTCACCTGCCTCAGGACGGGCTTCAAGCTCTAAGGCTCCCCCTCACACGTCTCTACCGACACAGACATGGTCTAAACCTCACCGAGGCCGCCCCGCGATGAGACAGCCAGAGGGCAAACCTGGCTTCCCAAACTCTCTGCAACAGTCTCCTAACTTCTGCTTTTGTAGTATCTTTGGAAAGATGGGGATGCTGGGTTCATTTCCTGGTTTTTCTGGATTTCAAGATATGGTACTGTTGCACAGCTGTGAAGTTCTGAAATAGTAGTTGCGTGTGGAGGACCCTGAATTCCTTGACGTGCTGGAGAATAATTACTGTGGGTGGCGGGCCCCCAGCTTTAGGCCGGACTTTCTGCTTGCTGTGAGCCTGCAGCTACAGCAACCCCCCTCCGCTCCCGTCCCCATACCACTGACTGGTCTCTAGTGCTTCCGTGCTGACGCCCAGGCCAGAGGCTTCTAGCGCAGGAAGCAGCGGCCCAGGCGGCTCAGGTGGCGGCACAGAAGGGTTGCTGTCGCCTGGGCATCCCCCGCTGTGGCCTGAGCGTAGGTGGTCCTTGAGCGTCTGCTTGTAGCGGAAGCTTCGGCCGCAGAGTGCACAGGGGTAGGGCCGCTCGCCCGTGTGGATGCGCTGATGCTTCAGGAGGTGGTGCTTGCGGATGAAGCTCTTGCCGCAGTGGGAGCAGGGGAAGGGCCGCTCGCCCGTGTGCAGCCGCCGGTGGTTGAGCAGGTGCTCTTTGCGCATGAAGCTCTTGCTGCAGTCTGTGCACGGGTACGGCCGCTCGCCCGTGTGGATCATCTGGTGGCGTATGAGGGCTGAGTGGCCGTTGAAGTCGATACCGCACTGCGGGCAGGAAAAGGGGCGCTCCTGTGCATGGCCCCGCTGGTGCAGCAGCAGGCTGAGCTTCAGGCTGAAGCTGCGGCCGCACTGTGAGCAGCGGAAGGGTCGCTCGCTGGTGTGTGCACGCCGGTGGCTGGTGAGCCGAGCCTGGTCGGCGAAGCGCTTGGGGCAGTCCGGGCAGGGGAAAGGGCGCTCAGCGCTGTTGTGCACGCGCAGGTGGTAGGTGAGTCTCGAGGGATGTGTGAAGGTCCGGGAGCAGTGCGGGCAGGTGGGGGGCGTCTCGCCGGCGTGCTCCTGGGAGGCGCTGCCCAGGTCTGGCTGCACGGGAAAGTGCTTTGGGCACTGGGCACAGGGCCCAGGGTGTTCGGACGCATGGCCACACTGGTGGGTCAGTAGCATGTCCTGGTTGAGACTCTTGCCACAGTGGTGGCAGAATACCTGCTCCCCGACAGGAGGCGGGAGCGGGTAGCTTCCCAACTGAGTGAATGTCACTTGTCCTTCTGAGGCCTCGGGCAGGTCAGTGGCCGCACGTCCAAAAGGTGTCATGGGTGCGGACTGCTGGCTTTTGAAAGCCACATCTGAGAAAACATCCTTTGCCACTGCTGTGGGGGCAACAGAGAAGGCAACTGGAACCTCGGGGCACAAGGTGGCTGGAGCAAGGCCTTCGGACTTGATGACAAGCTCCTCCTCTGAAAGAAAGGACTCAGAGTTACCTGCTCAGGTCCTGTCCAGCCCCCAAAGTTGTCCCTGCTCCTGAAACTCAGACAAGGGACCCCCTGCAGCCTGGACAATACCAAGATGTGTGCACTCCCTGTGCAAATCATCAGGGAGTGTAAACTGTACCTCTTTAACACTGCTCCCTGTTTGGGAAAGGAAAGACAGCATCAGGCCTCCCTACTTTGCTTTCATCACGCTTTGCATCTGCTTTTTCTGTCACCTATTGTGACAAAACCAAAACCTCCTGACTTCTGTCTCCTCTGTTCTACTGAACAGAATCCTTCAGTAGGATCAACTGTCTCTCCTTTCCCTGAAAACAAAGTACACATTTCTACTCCTGCGTCTTTGCTTATTCTGTTTTTGGGTTTTTTCTTCCAGTACTGGGGATTGAACCCTGAGCCTTCGCACTGAAATACATCCTCTACCTTTTATATTTTTTATTTTGAGATGAGGTCTTGCCAGATGTCCCAGGCTGGCCTTAAATTTGCGACCTTCCCATCGCAGGCTCCTTGAGAGCTGGGATGACAGGTGTGCTCTACTATGCCCGCTGGGCTCACTCATCTGTAGGACGGATCCTCCCTTTCTGTTTCCACATCTTTATTTCCTGCCTGAATACCTAAACTACAAGGCATGTGTGTTCCTTTTGTGTCTCCCCTCTTTTATTAATACCACCCCACTTGCCCTTGGCCTGTCACAGTGGACATGCCTAGCACTGCTAAGCGTCCCCAGGGGAAGCTTTTGGAAGGGCAGAAACTGTACTTCCCAGAGCCTAAAGGAATACAGGGTGCAGAAGGTATTAAAACCAGATTGTATTAAGTTGTATACACAGTTGGGTACTTTATGACCTTGGGATTCTTCTTTATAATTCAAGTGTCAAAATACAAATGGTGCTAAGTATCTTACAATGATTCTTCTCCCATTACCATTTTCCCTTTCACTGAACATCCTCCTTTGCACCTCTCCAATGATACTGTGTCTACTGCTATCTTCCCAACCCACTTCCTACTGCTGGTCTATCTTCTCTAAGTGACCTGTAGATGTTCTACTTTCCCCCAGACTTGTACTTTTGGTCCATTAATCAGTACTTACTTTTCTTCCCTTAACAATTTTTTTTTTTTTTGGTCTTTTTGAAACAGAGTCTCACTATGCAGTTCAGGCTGGCCTTGAGGTCACTTTGTAGCCCAGGCTAATCTTGAACTCAAAAAGATCCTCCTGCCTCAGCTTCCTGAATGCTGGGATTACAAGCATGCGCCATCAAGCCCAGCCCTATGCTAGGGATTAAACCAGGGCCTTACACAAACTAAGCACATGTTACCATTGAGCTATGCCTCCAGACCAAAGTACTGTATTTTAATGTTTTTGCATTTGAGAGTGTTTTCCCACTAAAGAGTTTATCTTAGAGGCTTCCTGGTTTCACTGATAACTCAGGCGACCATATCTGTCCTTCTCCTGCCTGCCCCTTGCCTCCAGACCCTATGTCAGGCAGGCTGTTGGGTCCCTCCTGGTGTGGGCAGGGCTGCGCGGAGCAGCTCTTCAGCCATCACTCACCCGTGTAAGTGCCTTTGTACACCTCACTCTCCTTGGCCTCCTGGGGGGGCCCAACCTGAGGTTCCTCCTCCTGTTTGATCCAAGACAGAATATCTGATGTTGAAAGTCCAGGCTCTGAATGTGGGGGGAAAGGAAACAGCCTTCAGGGACTTGAGTTAGAAGATAAACATAATCACATTGGCTTGTTAAATACTGTGTGTTAAAAACTTCTAACTAACCCTAGCTTGCGCCTCTATTTTTTAGTCAGCTCATTTAAAAACAAGTCACAATTTTTATTTTGGAGATGACACCCTGGAATAGAACCCACAGTAGTTTTCACTTGGTAGTTTTTGTTTGTTTTGTGGTGCTGGGGTTGAACCCAGGCCTCTGCACTGAGCAACATCCCCAGGCCTTTCTATCTAAGACACAGCCTCACGAAGTTGCCCAGGCTGAACATGTGATCCCTCTGCCTCAGCCTCCCGGGGTGTTAGGATTATAGACATGTGCCACCATGCCTAGCTGGTAGTGCTCTTATAGTAACAATATTTCCATATTTTTCTCTCATTTGGGAGAAAGGGAGCAGGCAATATTTTTTCCTTTTAAGTAGAGTGGCCAACAAGGTTAAATAAATCTCCAATAAGGAAGTATTTACATCATATTATCAGACATTTGCTTTAAAGTACACCAGATAAAAGCAAAGAGGCAACACTAACCAACAGTTTTTGGTTTTTAAAGTGTTAAGTAAAAAACAAGTACATTTCAAGAAGAACGAAGTTAGGTCAGTTTAAACACAGCACACTTCGGATTCCCAACTCTGGGCTCTTCCCCAGGGATCATATTTCCTTTGCTTATTAAATGATATAGGTCAGTTTCCGAAACTGGGCACAGTGAAAACAGCATGTGCAAGTTCTTCACGTCTTGAGAATTCTTTGTGAAAGAAGAAAGCACCATCTCTGAATGCTTTCCATACACACACACACACACACACACACACACACACACACACACACACACGCCTCATGTGCTTGCTCTTCTAGTCTAGACCTAGATGATCTTCTCCAGCCTATGCAGACAAGCAGGCAAGGTCCTGACAGTAAATTCAAGCTCTCCAAAGTTATTTCTCAAAAAAGCCTTGCAGACAGGTTACGGTTTTACTTCCAGCAAATCAACAGAACTCCCTGCTCTGTTCAATACCTCTTAAATCAGCTAGAAAGTGCTGGAATCCAAGGGCGTGGCCAGAGGCAGAAGAGGCTGGGTAAGACTAGCGCCCAGAGACTTCCCGGAGGGGAAAGCAAGGCTTGGCCCAGACAGGAGGTTGCCTTTCCTGTTGCTACCGTACAGTGCACACAAGCTCCAGTGTCCTACACACAGCCCAGCCTTACCTTTATTTACATACACAACACAGGAAAAGGCAAGGGGCTACGGGTTGTGAAAGAGGAGCTCTTGAAAACCAAAGGATAAACTTCCACTTACCAGACACATGACTTCTGTACATGCTTAACTACTTTTCTTTTACAATTTTCTATACAATGAGTTAGTGCTCTAGAAACTGTCAACTATGCTTCCAGTGTTTATGACTTTTGTTGTTATTGTTGTTTGTGGTACAAATTCAAAGAATGAGACACATCTGACTCGCTTCAGTCCATTGAGTCACTGTTCTCTTTAAGGTGCCACTGTCCCTCACGTGACCGGCAGGAAGCTCTCGGTCAGTGCTGCTCACACAGCCCCAAATGCCAGCTTCCTTGATTTCGGGCAGGACAGACCACCTCAGGCTCATCAGTGCACTTCCTGCTTGGGCTCAGAATTAGGGCTCACTCTGAAACAGGGTGTAGCAATAAGGCTGCCACTGCCACCCAGTTCCCACTGCTTCCAGGCCCTGTCAGTGGACAATGCTATGAGATGCAGACTTCTCAGCAAAAGCAAAGTGTCATGAGCCCCTATTAATACTTCTGTTTCATATGTAAGAATACTGCATTGATATTAAATCTTTTTATCTTAAACTAGTATTTTTCTTAACCCTGAAAAGACAAAGACCCTTAGTTTCTAATGACATTAACATAATCTTTGTTTAACCTGAATATATGATAGGTTTCAAGATAATACTAAAAATATTAACAAACATGAAATTCAAGTTTTTACGATGGTTTTAGTCTTCAGGATATATATCTCTAGGGACATGCAATTAAAATACTGTGCTTTAAGATCATTTGAAGTAAATATGCATGCAAGTTTAGTTATTTTATTTTTTTAAGTTTTTATTTATTTATTTCTTGGTGCTGGGACTCAAACTCAGGACACTGCATGCTTGCCAGGCAGGCGCTGGGCCATGAGCTAAATCTCCAGCCCACGTCTAGTTATTTTAGTATGTTTGATTTTTTAACTTTTATATTTTCTTAATTATGTTAAATATTTACAAGGTTTTAAAGTCAAAACTATAAAATAAGACATATTCAGGGAAGTCTAGCTCCTATCTGTTTGTTTCCTTTCTCCCCATATAAGGTAGCCACTCTGGTTGATTTTCCTTTTCATTTTCCATGTTTCTCTGTAAACACATAAATATGTACAGAGTCATACTTTCCCTCTTTAACATAACATGCCATACTACATAAACAATCCCAGGGGCTGGGGTTTTAGCTCAGTGGCACAGCACCTGCCTGGCAAGTGCAAGGTCGTGAGTTCGATTCCCAGTACCAGAAAAAAGCCAAAAAAAAAAAAAAGAAACAAACCAATTCTATACTTTGATTTTAAACATGTTATTCCGGAGATCTCTATAGCTGTTTATAGAGACCTTTCTGGTCCCTTTTAGGTGTACTGCATGGCTGCACCATTATTTATTCAAAAGCCCTGACTGATGGGTACCTGGATTCCTTCCAGTCTTTAGATACAGTATTAGTTAGCAGGCAACAATAAAAACTATGAAGAGCTAAATAAGTCATTGCTCTAGAAATGTAGCGTTTCTTGTTATTAGAGTTCACCATTAAGCATTGCTTAATGTTAAGTCATTGCTCTAGAAATGTAGAGTTCTCTTGTTACCAGAGTTTACCGTTAAGCATCAGACTATATGCTTAACTTGGGACATTTCAAAAAACTAACCTTTCTTCTTTCCCTTACTTCCTTCAGCTTTTTAAAAAAATTTCTGAGTCAGAGTCTCACTGTGTTGCCCAGGCTGGTCTCAAAATCCTGGGCTCAAACACAGACCCACCACAGCCTCCGAAGCAGTTGGGAATACAGTATGTGCCACTACACTCAGCTTCCTTCTTTATGAATGGCGAAGCTGAAAGTCTAACCGTTTCTCTGTTCATTTAGTAGATCAACCGGACTAAGGATTTATTTTATTAAAGTGCAGCTTCTTTTGCCAGTTGTTCCTCAAAGGATTACTATCTAGAAAGAACTGAAAAACACCAGACCCCCCTAATTTAAAGACCCAATTAAAAAATGGGAATCTGAGATGAATACATACCTCTCAGATGAAAAAGTGAAGTAGCAAATAAATATATAAAAAAATGTTCAGTAGCACTAGTCATTTGAGAGATAAAAATTAAAACAATGCTAAGATTCCATCTCACCCCAGAAAGAATAGCTGCTATCAAGAAATCAACCAGTAACAAATGATGGGAAGGATGTGGGGAAAAAGGGACTCTTCTCCACTCTTGGTGGGAGTGTAGACTGGAGCAACCACTGTGGAAATCAGTGTGGAGATTCCTCAAAAATCTAGGACTAGAGGTTCCATTCGACCCAGGTATTCCCCTTCTGATACCTTCCTAAAAGAATTAAAAAGCAGCTGGGCATGGTGGCACATGTCTGTAATCCTAGCACTCGGGAGACTGAGGCAGGAGGATCATTGTGAGTTCGAGACCAGCCTGGGCTACAAAGTGAGCTCAAGGCCAGCCTGAATTGCATAGTGAGACCCTGTCTCAAAAAGAAAAAACAAAAGGGAAGAATTTAAAGCACCATAACACCTTTGTTCATAGCCCCACAGTTTGTAATAGCCAAATCATAGAAACAGCCCAAATGTCCATCAACTGGTGAATGGATAAAGAAGATGTGGGTTTTTAAATACAATGCGGTACTACTCTGCCATAAAGAAGGATAAACTGGACACATTTTTAGGTAAATGGGTGCACCTGGAGACCATACTCAGTGAAATAAATCAGACACACATGTGTAAATAAGGACTAAAATGTATAATGGGTATTGTTTAAAATAGGAAGAAAAAAAATAAAAATAAAATAGGAAGAAATGTTCAAATCAAGAAGCAAACACGAGAAGTGGGAGGGGAAAAGGAAAAAAGGCAAAAGTACAAAAAATGAGAAAAGCAGGGAAAAATGGAAACAAACCTTTTATAAATGGGGAGGGAAGAAGGGGTTGAAGGCAGGGTAGGGGAAGGGAAAAAAAAGAAATGAGTTATATCATGTACAGGTACAAATGCCCTGCGATGAAGGAAATCATTATGTATCTAAAATGTACAGGGGGCTGGGGATTTAGCTCAGCGGCAAGGAGCCGGCCTGGCAAGTGTAAAGTCGTGAGTTCAATTCCTAGTACCGGAAGAAAAACAAAACAAAAAAAAATAGATAAAGAAAATGTACCAATAAAGTCTGTTTGAAAAAGAAAGGAAGAAAAAGAAAGAGGGAAAGAGAGAGAGGAAGGGAGGGAGGGCTGGTTCTCACCACTGCTGTCACAGAACACGTAGAATTCACTGGTGTCTACAAGCTGGCAAGATGGTGTGAGTGAGTGTGTAACACGAACACCCTGAGGAAGGGAAGTAAAGGGGCAGGAGGCCTGGCGCAGACAACTGCTGGTGGCAGCACCTGCCACCAGGCCACTGCAGAGGCACTACACATTTTTCCTCACAGTACAACGTGGGTACTTAGAGGGGCATGAAATGAAAGTAAAGTCACGGATCAGGCAAGCCGCGGGCTTCGGAGAAAGCCAGAAAAACTGCACACTGACCAGGTAAGAGGGACTGAGTAAGAACCAGGTTTTCTGCTTGAGCATGGTTAAAACTAGAAAGACCAATCACAAGCAAATAGAAACGTTCCTGTCTATATTGGTTACATGTTATTTGAAGTATGAATCTGATTAAATTAATCTGATTTTGTGCATTTTAATATGATATGGATCATGCTTTCTGAAAAGGGGCCAGAAATTCAAGGTTCTGGGATTTGTGCAAAGGGCTTTTAAACTAAATCAAGGCACAGTATGTTGAGATCTGGCTTCTTAAGAAGACACTAAAAATACTTTTGATGTGAAACTACTATTCTTAAAAATACAGACAATTTTCTTCTTTTTTTTGGTACTGAGACTTGAAGTCAGGGCCTTGTGCTTGCCAGGCAGATACTGTGCTGCTGAGCTACATCACTGGCCCTGCACAATTTTCTTAAAAAAAAAAAAAAAAAAATTTATGAAACAGGTGTGGGACTGTAACAGCCAGATGAATGTGTTATTTTGTAATAAATTATAATCTCTAAATTTCATGATCCTTGTTCACAAATAGGTTAAAATCAGAACTGGCGTAAGTTAGTATATGTGCTAATCATTCACTTTGTATCCAAAAAAAAAAAAAGAAGAAAAAAAAAAGATAAATACCCAAATGTATTTTAGAAAATTAAGGTTTCTAAAAGTATATCAGCATTCTAACACAAACACACTGGTCTAACAACAATTTACAAAGTACATTAAAAGTTCTTAAACATGATGCTGTTAGAGAAGCTGCTTGCTCAAGAAGAAAAAATCAGAAGTTATATTAGAATAAGATAAAGAAGGGATTTAAACAGTTAAATGAAAAATAATATATCAAAAAGTCATTTTAAAAATCCTATCACTCACATGGCCTAGCATTAGTTTCTCCCACCTAACATATGTGAAGAACAGTCTTTTACGTGTTTTAATGATCAATGGTGTTTAAATAGTATTGTCAGGAGAAGGAAAACACAGAACAGGCCAGAGACTGCCTACTCTAGAGGGCCTGCTGCAGGTCTGTCCTCGGTTGCAGACGGTTGTCTACACTGATGGAAAACATTCCCTAAATGACAGCAGTGGTTCATGGTGCCTCAATCATTTGCCAAACAGAGTTGTTTATACTGACCACGACTCGTCCTTCCAGAAGTCTAGAATCTGGGTCTGTCCTAGGCAGAGGGCACCTGTGTGACAGCCACCAATAAAAACCATGGGCACCAAGCATTGAATGAGTAGCTCTGGTGGACAGTACTCTGTGTGTACTCTCACAGATCATTGCTGGAGGAACAAGATGTGTCCTAGGAGACTCCCCTGTGAGAGGACCTGGGATGCTTGTCTCTGGTTTCCTCTCTGTTCTCTTTCCCTTTGCTAAAGTTGCTTTGTACCCTTTTGTGTTAATAAATGTTAGCTCTAGCTTGCAGGAGACTATGTACTGAATCCTGCAAGCTTTTAAAAATGTGACATATTGACTGGCCCAAGTTATATGAATCCTATTCTCTCTCTCCCTTTTTTTTTTGTCTTTTTGAGACAAGGTCTCACTATGCAGTTCAGGCTCGCCTTGAGCTCACTTTGTAAAAGCCCAGACTGGTCTCGAACTAACCCTCCTGCCTCAGCCTCCCAAGTGCTAGGATTACAGGTGTGCGTCACCACACCCAGCCTTATGAATCCTATTCTCAAGTTTGGGTAAATATCTAGGTTCCTAGTCACTGATACAAGAATAAAACCAGAATATTAAATCAAACACATTATTTGTTCATTTTCAATTAAAAAAAAGTATAAAGTATATAGGTTGACTACCCAGAAATGAAGTTTAAAAAACACAAAGTAAAAATAAATTCACTATACTTATAGGTAAATGAAACTTGAACACATCATTATAAAACCAAATTATCCATATCTTTTTCACCCATCTTCCCAAATTAAAATATTTAGGGCCAGGTGTGGTGGTGTACACCTGTAATCCCAGCACTTGGGAGGCTGAGGCAGGAGGACTGCTGCAAGTTTGAGGCCAGGCTGGGCTACAAAGTGAGTTGAAGGCCAGCCTGAAGTGCACAGTGAGACCCTGTCTCAAAAAGACAAAAAAAAAAGATATTCAGGTAATTATACCAGCTGAACGCAGTATCAACTAATAATGCAGACTAAAAAGTTCAATAATTAATCTTTTGTAATCAATCCATCTTTATAGGCGCTGTTATTTATATCTATGATATAGATCAATCAGTCAATCACTACACTGCCTAAATGCAATCATCCACCCATTCTTAAAACATAATATATATGGCAGTGGTACATATTGCTCAAAACTCAGAGAAGTTATACTTCACACCAAAGCATTTTACTGTATGTAAAAACAAATACTGAACCTTAGTTAATTATAGGTTAATTATTAGTTAATTATTAAATATGTTAATTATTAGTTAATTATTAGTTAAACAAATACTGAACCTTAGGTTAATTATATTCATGGTGAACTATTTAGAAGGAAATGTACTGATGTCTCTAATTTAAACTACATCAGATATAGGAAAGATTAGTGGGGTATAGTGGTGCTTGCTTATAACCCCAGCTACTTGGGAGGCTGAGCTAGGAGGAGGATCACAGGCTTGAGGTCAGCCTGGATAACTTAGTGAGACCCTCTCTCAAATTCAAAACAAAAAGAATCGGGAACATGGCTCAGGGGTAGAGTGCTTGCCTAGCATGTGCAAGGCCCTAGGTTCAATCTTCACACAAAAGGAAGGAAGAACTGGAGGGAGGGAGGGAGGGAGGAAGGGGAGGGGAGAAAAGAGAAGGGAAGGAGGGAGGCAGGAAGAAAGGGAGGAAGGGGGGACTAATGGCTGGATGGGAAAAGGGATGCAGAAATGGATACACATGTGATAAAGAAGTTGGTAAAATGTGAGTGGTAGAGTCTAATGCTGAAGAGCTACACACTGACTATAAAATTACTTCTATTTTTCTGAATGAAAATTGGCATAATAAAATAGAAAAAATAGCAGTAGATGAGACCATAATAGAAGCTGATCTAATAGTGAGGTCTAGAGAATAAACCTTCTGGTAGTGGTATCTATGAATATTTATACAGCAAAGAAAAAAGCATATGGGAATTTTTTGATAGCAAAGGTGGGCTGTGAAAGAAGCAGCACAGCCAGACTTTGGCTAGCGGTATTTCCGCAGTGCTCTCCAGGCCCGGGCACATCCACGTTTCCCTGTGTGGAGCAGCATCCGGGGCCACTGGCTAAGTGCACCCCAAAGACCACACGGATGCCTAGGACCTTCCGCCCTAGGCCAGGCATGCCTTCCATCTAGCCACTTCACTCCAGCTGGGCATGACTGCTTCCTGTCACGTATTTCTAAATTGCTGGGTCTCAGTCCTTTTATCAGGGAACATATTTAATAACACTAGGATGTGTGGTATGGATGGCTGAAGGCACAGGAAATGATGTCTCTGAGCTCACTCTTTTATTTATTTATTTATTTATTTTGGTCTTTTTGAGACAGGGTCTCGCTATGCAGCTCAGGCTGGCCTTGAGCTCACTTTATAGCCCAGGCTGGCCTCAAACTCACAATGATCCTCCTGCCTCAGCCTCCCGAGTGCTGGGATTACAGGCATGCGCCACCACGCCCGGCGAGCTCACTCTTTTAAATGCCCAAAGTCTTTACCACTGAATGGCTCTGGAAGCCCCGGGCCCTGCTTACTTTACTCTGTGTCCCCTTCTCCACCAGGAAAGGGAGATGCTGAGCGGACACTTCATCTCTCACTTACCTTCACTGGGGACCGCAGGAATCTCAGTCTCCTCTGGGCCTGCGTGGTCCTTTGTGTTATGTTCTCCTTCTGGTTGAATCTGAGATAAGACATCAGGTTGACTCATGGCATAATCTGAGGAAAAAGGGACAGACAAACGAGCATGACAACTGACTGCTGTAGAGGGTGCTATAGTCCCAGGGAATTTCTTTTAGGTTCCGTATCACTTTTCCCTATGCATCTACACCCAACTTAGGATGCTAGTACCTACTCAGGAAAGCGGCCGGAGGAGACAGGATGTGGGAAAGGCATGTGTGCTAGGTGGCTCTGCCCACAGGCTCCTCTCCTGGAGCAAGAAGTGACAGTGTGCCTCCGCGGGCAGTCAAGGCCCTTTTGCTGTGAAGAACACGGAGGGAACCGGCAGGCACACTCAAAACCCGGAACCTTACTCTGTCCCATCATCTTGCAAAAGGAGAAATTCTGCATTCCACTGCGTGAGTGTGAATTGGTGAGTGTGAATTGGCCGCCGGGGCTCGAACAATGCTAAAGTACAAGGACGGGGGAATGAGGACACTGGAGGAACAGGGACTCTCTGAGCCCTCCTGGGGCTGCTGGTGCCAACTCAGCCTCACCCATGGAGATGAGAGACTCGTAGTTGCCCTTCAAGATATTCTTGTAAAGCTCCTTCTGCCATTCTTCTAATTTTTCCCACTCTGGAGTGGAAAAGTAGATGGAGACATCATCAAATGCCACAGGCACCTAAAATCACAATCACATGCATTAGTCCTCCCCACCGCAGTAAATTCAATAGATCTTCCCCCCCAATTGGTTCTTTACTGCTTTTTTATATTGTCAAAGGGTCGTCAATAAATATTCTAAACAGCTCTGAAACTGTTTCAGTTACCGCTCCCCTGTCATTAGTCTAGCCCTAAATTCCACACTCATGCAATACAGCATGTAGCTGGCACCTTTCCTGAGGTCTATTGAAGCACTTTGCAGATAGCAAGAAAACAACTCAATGCCATGCAAATAAGTTTTCTCATGTCATTTTTTTTTAATTGTTTGTTATTTTTTGAGACAGGGTCTCACTCTGTAATTCAGGCTGGCCTTGAACTCACTATGTAGCCCAGGCTGGCCTCAAATTCGTAATTCTCCTGCCTCAGCCTCCCAAGTGCTGGGATTATAGGCAGGCGCCACTGCGCTGGGCGGGCTGTTCCTTGCTAACCCTTGGCTTCTGAAGAAACCTGGTTTGGTGAAGCGGGTCCAGGGCGGGAGTGCCATTAGTTTTTCCCATGTTCTGATCACCTGACCTGGAAATGGGAAAGTTTTAATGTCACCACAAGCCCCCAAACCACAGAAATCCCAATTGATTGTGTTCCATATTTCTTTTTAAAGAGCTGTGAATGCCCCTTTTGATCTTGCCTGGGATTCGGACCACTAAAAGATGTTTGTTCATTCGTTCTCTTCCTCTGGGCAGAATCTGACATTTTGAATTCTTCTCCCTACTTCCTTTTTTTTTTGTTTTTGTTTTTTTTGTTTTTTTGCCGGTACTGGGAATCGAACTCATGACCTTGCACCTGCCAGGCAGGTGCTGTGCCACTGAGCTAAATCCCTAGCCCCTTCTCTGTACTTCCTAACTGGTCTTTTTCTCACTTTGGATCTTTGTGGGAGGAAGAGGGCATGGGGCATCACAGCTACCCTTGCATGTGCTTCAAATGGAAGCTGTGTCCATTTTGCGGCTGTTTCCAATCCCCACCTGCCGACCTCTGAGACACCCACTTCCTCTTGCAGTCCCTTCAGTTTGTTTTCATGAAGAGATTTTCTCTTTCTAGGCAACTAGAGCTCACTGCAGTTTCTTTGTAGTTTGATTAGGTTTCTTCTTTGCTTTTCTTTCAACCACTGTGTCTGTTTCTCTCCCAGTGTCTTTGCATCTTCTCCTTGTATTTCTCCAATGTTGGCACTGTTTCAGCCTTCTACTCTGCCCTTTAGCATCTGTTTGAACTCAGCAATTTATTCTTTGTCAAGTGAAGTCACTTGGATCTGCAAACTAATTTCCTATTTCCAGTCAGAATTTTCATTTTTTCTTTTCTTCCCATTTTCAGGGCTCACAATTTGCTGCTGAAGTTTTAACCTAATGCCCTGAAGCGCCCTTCTGGCCTGGTCTGCTCTTCTGCCCTCTGAGAAACCCACAGTTCTTGCTCACTCCGATCCTTTCTGGTTGCTTCCAGACATCATTTTCCCTGCCAATCTGTTCTCAAATTCTAGCTTTTCACTTTGTAAAACCACATTTCTGATACCTTTATTCTTTTACATATTAATTCATAATCCTTTTGTTTTTTTCTCTTTTAAAAGATCTCACTATGTTGCCCAGGTGGCCCTGAACTCCTGCGATCATGCATTACTTCTGCCTCAGCTTTCAGAGTAGCTGGGGCCATAGGGACCCCTGTGCTCAACTCCTTTTCTACTAGAGCATTATGTGGTGTTCAGGGCTGATTTGAGAACTTCACGGACCATCCATCCTGTCCACTTTCAATCTTAGTCCTCTTTCTAACTTACTCCTATGTATTCCTGCCTCCAGTTTGATCTGTTATGTCTAGTTAGAACATTTACAAGTTTTTGTTTTGTTTTTTTTTTTTGGTACTAGAAGTGAACCCAAGGTTGTCACACTGAACTACACCTCCACCATTTTTTATTTTGATCTTGATACAGGGCTTTACTAAGGATCCTCCTGCCTCAGTCTCCCTCAATGTTGAGATTACAGGCGTGTATCACTGCACCTACCATAGCTTGAATATTAAATTATTTTTTTAATTCGTTAATGTATTTCTTGTTCAGTTTTATGCAATCTGCTGATTTTAAAAGGTATTTTAAGCCAGGCATGGTAGCACATGCCTGTAATCCCAGCACTTAGGAGGCTGAGGCAGGAGGAAAGTATTTTATTCTCTTACTGGAGTTTCTGATTCTTAATGTATTTAAGCCTTTAACAGTTCTACCCTTTGTGAAGTTAATACCTGCAGTTCATTTTTCCCAAGTCTCTAGTGTCCTCTAATTCTCTTCTTGGCTCTTCAAGCATAGCTTTCCCTTTCTTGGCTAGTTTATTCCTCACTGAACAGGCGCTTGAGCTGATTCTGAAACTTTATGTACTCATTCTGCTGCTTGCATGGTCAGCTTTCAGAGTCTGACGACAAGATTTATGGTGTTACATCCTTATCCTTCAGCAGTTAACATTTTCTGTAACTCACACAATTTGTCAGCTCACTGTCTCCACCAGGAGAAAACGAGAAGTGTCCACATTGGACAGCGAGCTGATACCACATAAAAGTAAGTTCTGGCTTTCCTATGGCCTTTTTTCTTTCCAGAATTATTTCTTACTTCCTCCTGCTAAGGTAGAAACCAGGCAGGCGAAATTATACCAGACTCACACCAAGCCCTTACACTGACTGCAGAGACTTAACAAGTGTTGTGGCCAGACTCTCCACGAGGGGCACTTCCACAGCTCCAGCCATGGACATCAGCCGAGCTGGACATCAGCTGAGTCATCTCACAGAGGCACTGGAGCTCAGCAAGGTGTCCTACACTCTGGTGCAGCTCACCACACCTGGCAGGAGGAGGTGGAGTAGCAGAGGGGAAAAGCAGCAAAAATGAGGCAGAGCAAGAAGGCAGAGAGGAGGACCAGAAATCTGAAGCATGCAGGAGAGCTGTGAGGGCAGAGTGGCACCTGAGAAGAGCCCATCTCTCCCTTGGAGGGCCAACATAGGACCCTCACTGGCCACTTACCACTCCAGCCCCTCACTCAAAAAATCAAGTCTCTGCTGATGTCTGGTGGTTTACTGAAAGCAACAGTTAATGTTTAAATTTTTTTATATAAATTTTGACCTATTTTGCAGGCTTGTATCTGGTAATCTGAGCAACTTATGTGAAGACAACAGTATGCAATATAGCAACCATTTTTTTTTGGTACCAGGAATCAAACTCACGACCTTGCGCTTGCCAGGCAGGCACTTGCGCCACTGAGCTAAACCCCCAACCCCCTTAACCACTGGTGAATTCCTACCATTCTGTCTAGTGAAACTCCGTATTGTATCTAGTGCTTTTTAAATTATTATTTTCTTATTCTCTTTAATGGTTTGATCAGTCTTCCAGTTTTACATCTGGTAATCTGAGCAACTTTGTCAGAGATAATATATAATATAACAACTACTGTTAATCTCCATCATTTGGTTTGAAACTCTGTACCATTTTAATGTCCTTGCTTTGTTTTGTTTGTATTTTACTATTTTATTTTTTACTATTCTCTTTAAAATAAAAAAAAAAATCAAGTCTCAATTTAGTTGCAAAAAACTACGCAGAGGCTACGCAGAGGAGTGAAAGGATACAGGAAAAACAACATGCCTCAGCCTCCATGGGTTCAGTGTTTTCACAGGGAAAGACCATAAACAGTAAGCTATAAATTATGGGAGAGTAGAGACCATTATCTGTAAATAACCGCAAATAAGTTAGGAACAACTGCAACACAATATGTAATTCACATAACAAAACAGTCTGACCATCCATTACATACAAGGTTCTCCCTGAGCCAGGTGTGGTGGTGCACACCTGTAATCCCAGCACTTGGGAGGCTGAGGCAGGAGGATTGTTGTGAGTTCGAGGCCAGCCTGGGCTACAAAGTGAGCTCAAGGCCAGCCTGAACTGCATAGACAGACCTTGTCTCAAAAAAAAAAAAAAAAAAAAAGGTTCTCCTTAAGCACCAAGATTATAAAAATATGGTTTCTGAGCCAAGCGTAGTGGCACATGCCTATATCCCAGCCCTCTTGCAGGCTGAGGCATCAGAATGGCAAGCTCAGGTCCCACCTGGGCAACCTAGTGACTTTGTGAGACCCTGTCCAAATTTTTTTTTTTGGTACCAGGAATCAAACTCAGGACCTTGCACTTGCCAGGCAGGCGCTTGTACTGCTGAGCTATATATCCCCAGGCTGACCCTGTCCAAATTTAAAAAAAAAAAAAAAAAGGGCTAGGCATATAGTTTAATGAAAATGTCTTGGGTTCAGACTCCAATACCAAAAAGAAACAAACCAAAAAAGATTTCTGCCCGAAAGGGGCGTAAGACTACATACGCATTAATGACACTCATAATGGAGCTGGGGTGACTCTAAAAGAAATGGGATGCAACTCTGACTAGTCCTCATGAGAACGGGGGAAACATTTTTTTCCTCTATTTAATTTTTATTTTATTGGTATATGTTAAATACACATAATGATAACACTCATCACTGGCAATTTGTACCTATAATTTGTACCTGCTGCTTCTTTTTTTCCCATTCTCCTCTCCTCCTCTCTCCTCCTCTGGGGGGAAACATTTAACAAGGAAAACCAGAGTGCATTCTAAGGGTAATTATGAATTCTGCCTAGTTGGGTCCAAGTTTTACATAAGAGAGTCGTCGGCACAGACTGCTCTAAAGCACTTAGCCCTCAACAGAAACTAGGAGGGTCCTCTGCACATAGGCACAGCGTCAGAGGTATGGGGACATGAAGGTTCCCCACAAGGGCACATGGAGGCGTGAAGCTCTCCTCACACCGGCACTGGCTGGGTGGGCGTCATCCGGCCTCCCTCTCCCTCCTCCCTCCCCAAGAGCTTTCACAGTTTGGTTTTTATGAATGATCTCAGTATCAAAAGCCACTTAGAAAAGGCCTGTGATACGAACAAGAAAAAGCAGAATAAAAGGAGGAAAAATTACTATGGTGGGTGCACAGAAATAGGG